GTGCAGTACTTCTGGCGCAACCGGCATGATGTTGAGAACCTCATCGCCCATGTGAACCACACATGCACATTCTTCGGCCAGCCGATCCCACTGTTGCCTCTGGAGTTTTGTCTTCATGCCGGCTGGCATTTTTCGGTTGTAGCTGATCAAGGTCTCGACCTCATAGCCAAAGTGTTGGGAAACAACAGAAATTCAAAAACCGAAAATAGTCTTGGTTCAGGCTGGACTCTGGGAAATTCCAAACAGGCACACACAGAAAATCTGTTCAAAAAATCAGCAAAGTGACAAACAATTCCACACTCTCTGCAGTGACCCGACCACGAGTCTGCCACACATTGTTTGTGCCCCCGCTAGCACCACCGTGACTCCGAAACCTGACACAAGCAGAAGGGTGCCACAAAAGGAGTATGATTTGAAGTTGAGGTAGGAAAGCATCTATCATGAGGCCTGAGGATATATATATATATATACACATAACTATTAGATAATATATAAAAAGAGAGAGTCATTGAAAATGCTGATTGGTGAAGGTGAGAAACGTAAAGCCCGGCAACCATTTCTTGCTCCCCAAACAATCGTCCTGCCAAGGACTGGCCTCAAACCCCACTTCCACTGTATAGTCCACGATCTGCTGTTTCACTTTGTGCGGCAGGTGGTGCAAAATGTTTTTTACAGCCTGCGCTTTCGATCCGACCAGCTGACCTGCCTTGGAGGAATTTGAATTGTGATCTTTCACCTGGGAGAAAAGGCCAAATCACTTCAAATTACAAGATCCAATGCGGTGGCTCTTGTTCATTGTCAACTGCAAACCGCTGACAGGGTGCTTGCAAACTGCAAACCAAACGGCTGACATGGTTGAAGGGAGAAGGCTAGGCTTCAAACAAACTGGGGAACGTCCAAGGAAGAATCCAAGTTCTGGAGTTGCATGATGCTGCTGATCCATGTCCTGAACATGCGCGGGGTGCGGCTGACTGGGAGCTGCTGGGGCACATGGACATACATGTGTGGGCAGTGTGAGTGACCATGAACCATTCTGACAGAGCTGGGGAGCTGGCACTACATTGGGTGCTTTCCGAATGCTTCCACGGACTGACAACTTAAAGTTGCCAAGGAGTTCATCTTTTTTGGATGGCAACTGCACTCGCTGGGCCACAATTTGCTGCAAGCTTTGGTGTAATTTGGGGTGCACCTGGCAGTTCCAAACATTCCACCACCAGTCAGTGTGCGAAAAGTGATTCATCATTGTTCATAACTGACAAGCGAAACCAAACACCTCAGCCAAGTTGGAGTTGACATGATCTTTTAGGAGGCTGATCATGGTCAAAAGGACAATCACACGTGTTCTGCCCTTGTAGTAGCCAATCGTCAGTGGCCGCAGAGTGGAATGATACACATGTGCCCAAGGTGCCACAAGTCCCTCCTGTTCAAAAAGACACTCCACAGCCACATAGCCACATTTGTCACATTCCAAAAAACACTGACAGTTTTCAGTTTCTATCCTCCACTTCCGCCAGCAAGTCTGCAGGCTGGGTCAGCAAAAGGGGGTCCCCTTGTGTGATGAAGCCATCAACCAAAATCTCATCCAGGAGCTTGAGAACCACATCGTTCTCTGGGCAGCCGCGGACACTTGCGGCCGAGCTAAAGCTGAAAGCTCCCAGGTGCATGTTCAGCAGATGCCCCTGCCCAGGAGCAAGGTAATGGAGGCTCATTGACTTGGGACCCAAACCTCACACTCAATATATGGTTTCAACTACAATGCAATCAGGAGCAACAAATCTCAAGCGTGCCTCACTCAAAGCATTGCAGTTGGTGATTGGCAAGTCTACACATACAGAGAAGTTGCTGCCCAATTCCACCTTCTGAATTTCACCCAAGTAGTTCAACCAGTCTTGTTTGGCAGACTTGGTGGCATATCGCAATCGTAGGTAGTTCTCAGGCCCACCATACTTCTTGATGCATTGAAGCATCAAGTTTTTCACATCCTCCCGTAACTTCTCCATGCTACTGGGCAAAGCAGTGCTGGACAAGCCCCATGAGTCCTCCACTGTCATGACAGTCTCGGCCTGGTCCTCCAAGCAATGTGAACTGAGACCTTCAAACCAGAAACTGTCCACACATTGAACAAGTTCGTAAATAACATGTGTTGGGTTCCTCTGACGGAGCGGGATTGGACTGACGGGCAGGTGTGTCAGATGCTGTGTCCAATGGCAAGGCATCAGCACCACCACCACCACCATTGTCGGGCATTTGGCTATCCATTGGATAGTTCTACAACTGCTACACTGCTAACAGCTCAAAGCCACCTCACCAAACAGCCAAAAAACACACATTTCATACAATTCGTATAATCAGTATGCTACCACTGAGTTGAATGAATCCAAATGCTACTAGCGACTGGAACCACACCAAAAGCAAGCAGTTTCGAGACATCAACTTGCCATTAAAGCCGCAGCTGACAAACCATGACCTGCTGACCATGATGCAAGGCAATTTCAATGGATACTACGACTGACGCGACAGTTTTCCATCTTGAAATGCAACACACAAAGTGCTGGCCAGCCCCTTCCCCACCACCATAAATAATGCCAGATGTGCCCCTTGTTGGCATCAAAAGCACGAGTGAAACCCCTGCTCTCACTCAATGCGGCGTAGGCAGTGGTTCCAAAGTCACTCGGGTGAACATAACTTGGAAAACGCCATTCTTACCTGCGAGTTCGGGTGAGCGGGCTCAGGCAAAAGCTTTGGTGAAAACCTTCAGCACAAGGAATCTGAAACAAGGACATGTATGCAAGCTACCCAAAACAAATGGACTTCCAGTGGTCAAAAGAGGTGTCATCTTACACCATCGTCCAGCATAGGCAGCTTCTGCAGTGAATGGACCGACCTGAATGTCTTAAAACTAAAAGTGGATTGCTTGGAAGAAAGTCACTGAGGCTTTTGCAAGTTCCCTAGATATCACAGTTGCCTAGATATCACTTAAGGATTTGGATCCTGGCCTGGGACACATGTTGCTGGTAACGCAAATTGAGGTTTTTCATCAACTGCTTCTTGGTTCGAAAAAGTGCTGGATCGAAGCCATCCAATGTCTCCTTCAACCAGCTGCGGAGCTTGCTCCCAATTTGAAGAATTGCACACCTAACAGATCACAAATTATGCTCAAAACACCATTGGAAACAATTCACCAATTATTGCAACAAAGGTCTTGAGATTGTTTCGGATTGTATTGGAATGATCTTTAAGCTGCAGCTGAGTGCATGACCCCAGCAGTTCATGGGTCACACAATCTTTCAAGGAAATGATGATGGTCTGGTCGTTGGGGTCAGGTGACATCTTCTCACACTCAAGCACCGGCATGACCATTGAAACACACACTTGATCAGCTTGAGACAGGGTCGTCACCAACTGCATATCAGAATCATCGCCATCATCATCAAGCTCCCTTGGGCAAAAGCAGCATGGACCAAGCACACACACAAAAGAAATCACAGCTCCTCCATAACACACACTTTTTCTACTTGGTTGTTTGGTCACACCCCTACTGAATCAACCTGCAAGTGGCCAGGCCCGATACCTGGTGTGATGACCATGCTGAGGTCGTGGGCGGCACAGGTAATTTGGCATGGTCCGTTCAGCTTCAAATCAAGCGGGCCAGTCAGCACAGGCAATGCTGCTCTCTTTGATCCAAACTGCAATAAACTATGTATGTCCATTATGGGACTTCACAGCACAGTGCCTTTGGAAACACCAAGCTAAAACAGGTTCTCAGAGCTGCACAGCATACCTGGAGCCAAACAGTGAACTGCCTCAGGCCAAAACCCACTCTTGGGCCAAATGCTGGACCACCGTGTTTTGTGATGAATATGCACGAGCTAAAAATACATATGTCTAGATGTACATCTGAAAAATGGGAGGAAACTAAGAGGTTAGTCAAAGAGCAGGTGTAAGCTCACTACATTCCAAACTTGCAACTAGAAAGTCAAAACCGCTGAGCAGTGGACACAGACCACCAGAGCTGGAGCCACCAAGCATCCTGCACAGGAGTAAGTTCACCCAAGCTCTACACGGCATAAATTTCTGCAAAAAAATCTCAAAACCAAGCGAACTCACATCCGTGCCAGACTCACCCAGAGATCGCTTGAAAACAATTGTTTTCAAGCGATCTTTGGCCAAATCTCTTATTCCAAGCTAACTAGCCCCGTGTTCAGTGTGCAGTCAAGATCTCTTGGAATAAGAGATTTGGCCAGAGATCGCTTGAAAACAATTGTTTTCAAGCGATCTCTGGTCACACCCAGCCAGCATGTCAGATCTCTTGAAAATTCAAATTTATCCTGGAAATGGTTGCCCAAATCCCCCTGCCGTGGTCCTCCAAATCCAAGCGATTGTTGGGTGAGCTGCCCAACAAATCGCTTGATCCAAATGCCATCCTCACTGACAGTTTTTTTGAGGAACAGAATGCCCGCGATTTTTTTTACTGCATTGAAGACAAGGTCAAACGTTTAGGGTTTAGGGTTGTGTCTTAATGAGTTTTTTCAGAAGAAACATGATTGAAGAGTGCCTCAGATACACTAGTCTGCAAAGCTTCCCTGTGACCAACCCAGTCCTTTGCTGAAGGTGGCACAGCCGCAAAGTCTCCAAGTCAAGCCTTAAGAGTGTTGGCTCTGCTGAGCATGTAATGACCTGCAACTTGTCAAACACAGTCCAGCACCACACACTCACAGCTGCAGGTTGACTTTTTTTAGTTTTCACTGTCCCGGTTCTGCATCTCCCAGGCTTGGCTGCCCGATGAGCACACCATAATTAATACTTCTACGGCCAACTGTGAGCCCAAGGTGCCTGATAGGTCAAGCCTTTGCACAAACAGGCATACAAACCAGCAAGAGCTATCTTTAGGTCAATCCATTCCACAAAAGATTTGGAGGTTCCATGTCTTACATGGTTTTACCTGTTGCCCACTACCTGGCACCCTGTTGGTGGCTTGAGCTGGAAAAAGGAGTGCCAATTCAAGGCTGGATGTCCCTTGAGACTCCTTGGAGCAGGCACTTGACCATCTTGGGTGGGTAGGTCTGTGCCCACTTGGACAAACTGTGCCCCAGTTCAGATCCCTCGATCCGCCTATGCTCACAAATGCAAGTACACTGTTTGGATTCAAACATGGCTACCACACCTGGACTGTTTGTCCAGATGCGCGTGCGCTTCTGCATGGGCTGGCCCAGTGGCGACACCAGGTCAACCTGACACTGGTCAAAATTGACCACAAACGTTCCGGAAGTGGCCACCCTTTTGCGCAGGCTGGTGATCTCCCAAGATGTGGCCCGAATGGGATGTTCAAAGGCAAAATACCTTCCAGAACGATGTTGGGCCAGACAGCTGTCCACGGCCTGCTCGACCATACCCACCGCGGCCTTCTTCCTTCGCCGGATATCTGGCGCAGACATCCTGCGAAAATTCCACATTTTCATGAGGGGTGAAAAAAATGTGCAAGGCGGAGAGCACATCAGGAACTGTGGCCTCAGCTGGCCAAGGAGGCGACAAGCAAGGGCTTGATGCTCAGGATCCAAGCCATTCCAGCCATGCACCAGGTCCAATGAAATCTGGCCGGTCATTCCAAAGGACGCAGCCATTGGCACTAGCCGTGGCCGACTGTAGAACTCCATGATCTGGTGATCAGCGGCACGACGACCCTTGGATTGGCTCAAGGCCGACCAAGCAAGGTCCAAAGCAGACGTGTCAATCTGCTCATCTGTCTTGGAATGTGTGGCCACCTTCTTGGAAGACTTGTTTGGCTTGGTCACCCTCTTGGACACTTGGCCAGCTTTGATAGACGGCTTCTTCTGCGGGATGCGGCTCCTCCCAACCATGCGTGCACCATGGACAGTCTTGGAAGGCATGGTGCTCTTGGGCTGAGCAGGGCTGAACTTCAAGGCGCGCTTGACGCTCTGCCGCGGGGTTGACAAAAAGTCAAGATCATCGTCCTGACCACTGACTCTATCAAAACAAAATTGGTCAGCCTAAAGAATGATTCAGTCAACTTAGTAGGTAACTAAATTTAAACTGTGGCTCAAACAACAACTCAGCAAAGTGTTCTAGCTCACATCAAGGGTTCGTCGACATCTGAGGGTAACTCAATCTCTTCTTGTGTGCCTGGTCCAAACAGCATCTGCAAATCATTTTCGGAATCTGAAGGAGGAAGGCAAAAGGATGAAGCTTTGCGACGCAGTGCCATGTTGGGTGTGAGATGCAGTGCTGTTTGAGATTTCCGAACAGGCTAGCGGTGTTGAGTATTGATTGGTCCAAAGCCAACAAACCAAACACCAAACAAACACCACCGATTACCAATCAGCAACACCACCTATTATTCCTGCAACTCCTCTTGACCTCATCACACCATCATGAGTCTTCACCCAGATTCAGCACCCTTTGCTATGCCGGGCTGAGATTCAAACCCGCAGGAACCCTGCAATCAGGAGCTGAAGATGAGGCCTGAAGCAAACTCAACTCACTGTCCATCGCTGTAACGCATTGCAAACTCAATTTTGCTATGAGTGTAGAAAAATGCGTGCGCAATATGTTTGCGTTTGTTCCTAGCAAATGTCATGGTTCCATGAGTGGACCGAGTCAGCCATCTCAAACACATGACACATTGAGCAAAAACCTGTTTGATCTAACAGCCTAAATCGAAAACAATGGAGTACTGCATGAACAGAAGTTTGGACTGGAGGCTGATCAAACATGTAAATCGATACAGAAAATAGTTTGGGGCCTGCAACCCTTCAACTTCCAGATAGGTCCTGCAACCTTTCAACTTGGGAGGAATGGCCACAGACACCGACTTTCTTTTAGGTGCACGGCGCTCGGTCTTGGCAAAGTCACCCTCGTCCTTGAAGCTTTGAGCACGATAGCCAAACCTGGGCGAGCAATGCAAAAATCACTAAGGCAAGTTCCAAACCACACAAAGTGAAAGTTGAAGGCTTTGTGCACTTAGACTTTCTGCTGCTGTGGGATGGGTGAAGCTTAAAAGTGATTGGAAAATGGCTGAGGGACAGTCAGTGTGCTTTGGACACCAGTAAAGCTGATTCTGAATGAGACTTGGTTTGTTTATATAATGGGTTGCACATTGAACCACTGCTGACCCGTCATGGTCGTGACAGGCTACCACCTGGCAGGCTAGCAAAACGTTCAACCGCAAATGAGCTGAACTAATCCAAGCCGTGCTGAGCTCTGTATAGGGCATGAATTTCCTTGCATCTCCTACAGCCAGCAGCAATATACTTACATTTATTGCATCCGAGTGATGACTGCTTGTCAATGGTGGCCTGCCGATACCCATGGGGAACGGGAGCGGCCTTGGCCTCAGCTCCTGGTGCAGGCTCATTCTCATCCCCATGGTGTTCTGAAGCGGCAGGCCGTCGAATCCGTGGCGGAGCAGCTGCTGGACGCTTCATGCCCCTCTTAGGAGCTGGGACTGGCTCAACAGGCACAGCAGGCACAGGTGCTGGCTCACGAGGTTCTGCCCGAGCAGCAGCCAAACCATCTCCATCTTCTGCCATAGGTATGTCTCCATCTTCTGCTGGGACTTCTGGTCGGCCATTGGCCACAGCACCATGGCCACCTTCAGAATCCACTGGGAGGTCCTAATTTTGATGTTGGTAACAATTGGTTTTGTTTTTAACCGTAACCTTTACAACATAACATCTCAATGCAAACCGCAAAGCACACCAAGATGTTGGAATGTCCTTCTCACCCTCGTCCATTTCCATCCATTTGTTGAAGCCGTGGTACTTGCTAAGATCGGCTCGAGTGACAAAGCGGAAGGAAAAATTCACATCTTGGTCGTGGTCCACAATAGCCAGCCCACTCAATGACACATTCAAGGGCTCCATGTACTCTTGCCAGTCATGGAAAGCATTGATGCACTCCACGTGCATTTCTCGTGATCTTCCTGGCTTGACCGTGTTCCGAATGCAATCTGCAAAGTCCTGGCAGCCAGTGTGGAATAAAACCCACTCAATTGCAATTCTTAGCGGAACCCTGCCCGACATACAAGACATAAAGGAGGAGTGGCACACACACCCATTGTAGAAATATTAAATTTATTGAAAATTCAAATCCAAAGGCTCTTCGCAATTCTGGAGCTGGGTTGCACGGGACAATGCAGCGGCAACGCCAACAAATCTTTGGTCCACTTCATTGTGGGAATGTCCGGGTCGGTAGAAACATTGGGTCACAGTGGCCCAGAGGTGCTTGGCAGTGGCAAGGGCACAAAAGGAGAACACGAATTGGTTCCTCTGCTCTCTGGCGGTGTTGTCAGCTTGGAGACAAAGATGGTGAGGTGCGGATACATTCCGAGAGCGAAGCACATCTAGAGCCACATCCACCGCTCGGTTGATGAGGGTGATATTCATACTCGAGTTCTTCGGAAGATCTCCATCCATGATGAAGAAGCACTCGACAACGCCGTGGCAAATGACGCAAACACAGTGCAACTGTGGGCGCCAACACTTCTCGAACTCTTTGGATCGGAACATGTCTGCGCATCTGGGAATCCTGAACTTGGCCAAACGGGGCAAGTTCATTGGCATTTATTTGCAAAAAGCACTGGGCTAAACAGGAGGTGGGAGTTAAAATCTAGTGAAGTTGGGATGGACCAAGCCAGTGAAAGCGTCCCGTCTCCTGATCCATTCCATCCAAACTGACATACAAAGTGGAGTGGGCAGGGTCATAGGCTGTATCCTGACATGTCGCACTTTCGGAGATCAACATCAGTCTCCGGCCAACACTGCGGTCGCGGAACACACCTTGCTTGTGCTCATTTGCAGCTGCCGTCCATGCTTGCTTTTCAATCTCAGTCTTTGCTTCCCGGCGGTGCTTGGACAAGCGAGTGCCTCCAAACATACAAGTTTGTTTCATCCAGATGAGAGGTCACTGGTATCCATGCATACATACATACATAGATACCTACATACAAACACACAAACAAACAAACAAACAAACAAACAAACAAACCAACCAACCAACCAACCAACCAAAAAACCAACTAACATACATACCTACCTACCTACCTACCTACATACATACACACACATACACACATACATACATACATGCATGCATGCATGCACGCATTCATCCTGCCATCCATTCATCCATCCTTACCTACATACTTATTCACATGTATACATGGCATACACCGGGTATGGGTACTTGATTGGGCAAAATCGCTCTTTCAACTCCCAAAACATCCAAAACTTTTCTGACAATTCACCACTCAGCTGCAATCTTTGCATTGGGTGTGTTGAGATGCTTTTCTAATCCGGAGACAATACCGCCACTCCTCTATATACACCCTGCGCAGCAAAGAGCGCCCGCATGTGTGGTCGCTGCCATACATGAACTCATACAGATCAAAAAGCTCTGCAAACTTGATGGGATGCAGCCACCTACCACAACCAGGGCACGTGCCCTCAACGAACAAAAGTGAATGAATGACCAATTATTGGGAGAAGAACTAACTGATCCATTCAATGTCAACACCAGGGTTGAAAATTTGTCCACATCTGTTTTCAGGCAAAACACTTCTGAGGCAAGCCAGATTCCAGAGCTCCACTGGCACATGCGACTGGGTTCTCTGCAGACTCAGCCTGGCCCTGAACCCAGTAAGCAAACTCATCAGTAAACTCTTGGATGTCGGACTCCTCTGGCTGGTCTCCCTCTGCGAGGGGCTCGGCCATATGGTCGTAAAGAAATTGGAAATACACACGGGCGTGGTCTCTCTTCGCCACATCACGGTCGGTTCTCAAAGATCGACCGTCCTCGGGAGGCTCAGCGTGGCCTGCCTGTATGGCTGCCAAAAACTTCTGACACTTGCGCTTGCTGATGCCACTCGTGGCTAGAAATGCACTGAAACACATTTCCAAACCAAAGAATTTCCAGCCAGGGCCACGCTTGCGAACCACACCATCCTGACCAGGGTTTGGTTTGATCAGAGTTGCGTTCCTTATGCAACATTTTTTATAGCCAGCGGTTTGGACACAAATGAAAATCAGTGTGCAAATCAGACCTAACCCTGTCACACTGTCCTGGTGGACACGCATTTGCTTCAACAACTGGAAAATCTTGTGGTCACGTTCGGATCGGGTCAAAGACTGCGTCTTCTTATGCCATTCATCCTGCTGGTTCCTTGCATTGAGACTGGCATGGAAATGCATAAGGCACTGCTGGCGGCAACATTCTTGCTGAGGACACCTGAGCGAAAGTTTGGACTTCGCGTAGCAGAAATGAGCGCCCTCGACTAAAAATAACCTTGTATTGTCTATATCACAAACCAGTCTTCATTTAACCAACCCAAACTTTCTGATGGGTGGTTTCTTCTGCAAAGGAACGTGGCTGGCTCTTCTTCTACATCGGATGGCATCTCCAAACAGTCCTCGTCCAGTCCTTCCAAAAGGTCTTCTCCAGAATCTTCGTGTGGTAGCTGCGGGCTGTCTTCACACACATCCTGGGGCAGCAACGGCAGCGACAGGCACCAATTATTGTATAATCCAATTCCTCACAGCCACCCTGAAACGTGGGGTTTGCGAACACCATTGGATTGAATCTGGGCAGTTGCTCAAAAATAGACACTGTATATACCAATCAAGCCACTCCAAGACCAAGCAATTGTGGTGGGGCAGCCCTTCATCATCACTGGGGAGATCACACTCGGCATCAGAAGCCATGTGGCCACTAAGAAAACTTTCAAATTGCTACAATTTTGTCAATCAAGGTGCCCCATGAACATGGCTAGAAAAATCTGCGAGTGTATACATCTTTGCTGCCACTGCCGCTGAGTTTTGACCATGAACCCATTCAGAACTCTTGATGCAGATGTGTCCTACACATGATTTGGCAAAAAGGAACTGCGTCGACTCACACAAAGCATCTTTGGTGCAGAATGAATTGGCTCACGGATCCAAATATGTTTGCAAAAGAAATCAATGGTTTATCCTGGTTTGAACTGTCAGCCAGCCTCAAGCCCGGGAACGATTGCGCATACCCTAGGTCGCTGACCGCCAAAGCTTTTGCACAGCAAATCGACCTGTCTGACAGTGTGACCCAACTTCAAGCTTCGATTGGAGGTTCCCACAAGCGAAGTGGCCTTTGCTCTCCAAAAAGCATGTC